ACACACACACACACACAACTCCAAGGTATTTAATGAATGTGAAAATAAAACCAGAGTCTGTATTACTCAAGTAATTCTCACTGATAAAAAAATAATGCCATGAAAATGTTTTTTTAAGTGACTTTAAGACTAAAAACACTACCTGAACCGTCAGCACATTGTATTCCATTACTACTCTGGGTCTTAACACACTTTCATAGTTTTTATGTATTTATGTATGTTGTGTTAAGTACAGTATGTATGTATTCTTTAGTCTCCATGTTTCAAAGCAGGGTTACACAATCGCTACCAGTGTCAGAGCGAATACATCGTGTGGAGTTAAGCTTTAGTGAACTTTTTCATCTTGTCACTCGCATGAGTTTGCATGTGACCGTGTCCTTATACTGTATATAGTAGATTCTGCATGGAACCAGCAAAGTTTTATCTTGTATTGATCCACATCCTTTAATACCACTGGTTTATATAATTTACAACATTTTGCACTCATTCTACCAAAGATTCTCTAGAACAGAATAGAGCACAGCTTATACTGTGCCATAGAAATAAAACAGAAAAAAACAAAAAACATCTACTCCACGTATATTATAAACCTTTGAACTCAAGGAAAAACATTATAGTTTATTTCCCACATCAGAGTGGGCGTGGGTCCAGTTTTGGACAGACTCAGAACCTGCTGTTAGTCTGCTAAAGGGGAGGGGCAGCAGGTAAACTGTGACACAGATACAGGAAATGACTCTTTAGTGAACTGTCTTCTTTATAAATCGTCTCTGCTTCTACATGGAAATATGATGATTACAATGACAGTGATGTCATGGTCAAGACACAATGACATTTGGTGATGATAAGTCAACTGCAAAATGTGTTTAAAAATATGGGACTGCCCCAAGGAAGAATCCAGAATGCCTTTAAAATGTGTTGCCAAAATTAGTGCAGAAACATGTCATGTTTGCTCTTAATTTGTACATTTCAGGGGTTCAGTGCCATATTAGGTCTGGCACATCTAGGCTTAGATCTATTTTTAGCCACAGATAGCCAAACCTTGATCCTTTCAAATTTTAGAACACAATATAGATTCTGTGTCCCCTCATCCAATCAGAACTGTCCTCTCATCAGAATTTTCATGTATCATGTTATCTTTAACTGCAAGAAAAAAACATGACAACCGGCACAAACGATATGGTGTGTAACAATATCCGATCTTAATGTTATTTACACTGATAACTCTTAGGAGATATTCTGCAGGTATCCAGTGCTCACCTTGGTCAGAGGAAGGCAGACACGGCTCAGCCGAGGTGGTGATGGCAGGGCTGAACTCCTTCAGCTCGTCTCCCTCGATGCTGAACTGAACCACGTACTTCAGTTTCACCTGATCAGGGCTGTACACCACATACTCATCATCCTGGAACATATGGTTATACTTGTTAGAGTGCACACAGATACTTACACACAAGACCAATCGGTAAAGCCATTCATTGTTCATTTCACTCAGCATATAAAATGTGTTCTGATGAACTACAACACAGTTTTTAATTACACGTATGTTTTTATTCCAAGACGGAATAATATATGGGCCGATATTGGCCTATAATAGACATATTGGTATTGTGTATATATATATATAATTATAACCACTGATTTGCAGGTGATCCGAATCAGAATTGAAAATCTTTACATGTGTGTCCCATGTTAGGAATGAGAGTCAGACTCAGTTTAGGGGTAAATGCATCTGTGTATTTGTCTTTTTATCTACACTGACACACAAACACTCCCACCTCAAACTCAGAGTGAGCGTTAGGGGTGCGGCGGACCCCGTGCACACTGTGGTGTCCCTCAGGGGCCTGGGTCAGAGTAGCGTCCATCTTGCGGAGGTCCCTGCACCGTCCCAACGCCACATCACTCACCAACAGCAACCGAGAGCCGTCCGTCGCACTGGGCCTGGAGTACTTCAGACTGGTGCTGTGGATGGAGAACATGAACAAACAAAAGAACAAAAAGACAGAAACAAAAGATGACAGTGTTTTTGCCATCTGATAAAATGACTGCAGGCTCACAAGTGAACATTTATTTGACTTTGCTTTTTATGTACTAAGGCAATAAAACATTACATTAATCAAGTAAGGACGAGTTAACTAATGCCCTATTTTTGTATGGAAGGTGGTGTTATGTGTCAAAACAAACTTGTATGGAACACATCTTGTCAATTTGAGATTTTCTACTAACCCAACAGCATCACTGAAGTAGATTCCACTGCCCAGATTACCAATGTCCGTTCTCTCTATCCCATGATGCTCCACTCCAACACGGGGCAGCAGTAGACCACTAAAGACAGTGAGACAATACTGAGTTACAAAATAAAACTCAGAAAGAGATTTCTGAATTGTTTAGTAGAAGATGTAGACCTGCACTGTACTCTTCCTGTCAGGCTGTCTGCATTACTATAACATCACATCACTATGTAATGTACTCATGCATAGAAAGAAGACAGAATGACTTTGCAAAATATGGATTGATATTGACAAACTTGTTGAATACATAAAACTGTCACTACCACGACTAGTTAACATGGGAAGCTCTTCTTCAGTGCCATCCCACTGTGTGTTCGAGGCAGAGAAATAGGTCCATTTTTACAATATGAATATAAATTCCTAAAATATGTAAACAATTTAAATATTGTTAGTTAAATGACAATATAGTTATATTTTATACTGTAAATGACTTTTATCATGACAATTCAAGTATTTTGTATGTGTGCGTGTGATCTCACCGAGACAGGATGCCCACAAAGTTTCTGGGGTAGGAGGAATGGAGGAGTGGCTTAACGTTCCCGAGATCACTCTTAAACGTCTGAAGCTCCACACCTCTGCTGACACGCAGGACCTGTTGGATCTGCACCTTGCTGCAAAGCACGGAAACATGGGCACTGACGTTTAAAACGCACACAAAACATTGTCACTTTATGTTTCAGAGTTAACAGATTCCAAGCTGAATGAACTTTAATGTAGATTTACTCCACTCAGTTGTTATAAAGTAATCGTCTGTACTTTTGATGATTGTGCCACAAATAATAAGTGGGGTGCATTTATATCTGCAGCAGGTTTTTGTGAACAGACGTGTGTGTTTTGGAGGTGGTAGGCTACCTGTCCTGCAGCAGAGCATTCACAGCCTGAAACTCGGAGCTGCTGGGGGGAACAGTCTCAATGCTGCACCTCAGAGCGCGGTACTTCCCCACACAGGACGGTGCCGGGCTTCTCAGGGTCATCTCACTCACGTTCAGAACATCTCTGATTAACTTATAATAAATCAAGAGAGAAGTCAGGTCATTTTGCTCAAATGCATTAGATGCAACATACAAGCCGTGGAGCTGCCCTCTGCTGGCCACTAGAAAGAATGCAGGTTTAAGGCGTTTCCATATCGGCTTTACTTCACATACCTGAAAGCTCTGTCCACTAATATGTACTGTCAATGATTTGAATCTTATCTAAACTGCCAACCCTTAGTGTGTCTTTGAGAGTATTTATCAGTGTTTATCAAACACACCATTCACCAATCTACAGTGCTGCTTCAAAGTATGTAAATCTCCTGAGCATTTGGGAGTTTTCTTGTTTTTGTTCCAATTAGTTCTTTATCTAATAACCTGTATTTCTTTTATGAAATAACAGGTGTATGTTTATCAGTTCCATATACTTTTTGGACTGGCAAATAACTGGCAAAAGTTAGTGAATACTGACCTGCATTGCACTGGTTTGATCCATTTTAATCAGAGCTGCCAAATTTATTCTCTCATCATATCTCTCATTTCATTGGTTAATTCAGCCAACAACTTTGTGCCACCTGATATTTACACGCTTGTTTCAAGCTATGCAGCTCAGGGTTCACTAACTTTTACCTCTACAAAAGTTTACAAAAATATTTTTATATTAGTCTTTTCACTACACATTTCATTTCCTTACGTTAAAAGTATATGGAATTGATGAACAAACACCTGTTATTTCATATAAAAAATACAGAGAAAGAAGAAATAATGGAAAAACAATAGAAAACTCCCAAATACTTTCAAACAGCAATGTATATACTTAGACATGTTACACTAAGAGGAAATTAATCAATGTGTGGCAATGCATGTCAATCACTGTGAATTTTGAATGACACAGCCAATTAAACAAATAGACATCAAAATGCTTTTTCAACTTTAGTCAGCAGCGGTCCACATTTTGTCACACTGGACTGGGACCAGACAAAAATAAAAATAAAACAGAAAACAACGAAGCATAGAAAGACTGATTTGGACATTGGTTACCTTGGTAACAGTCTAAAAGTTTTAAAGCACTCTGTTCAGCCTGATTGAATTTTTTCTCAGCGTGAACACACCACAGCCTCAAAACCTGCTTAGATTTTCCACATCTATCATGTGTGCACATCTGTCTTAGTGTGTCCATGTGTTTGTGCAGGGGTGTATGTTCTGTGTTACCTGACAGAGGTCCAGTTTCTCAGAGATGAGCTTGGAAGAGGGAGGTAAGCGGGGCTGTGTGAGCGGCAGCAGGGTGTAAACCTCATCCAGGAGAAGCGTCACCTCAGAATGATTTGACTCCCTGAGCTTCCTCTGAGCCTGAAGCAACAAGCCCTCCACCCTGGTCACCTACACACACACACACAAAAGGCATGGAGCAAAAGTGTTACTCTAATGAGATTCATGACATTCATTAGACAGTCTCTCCTGGAAGGTGAATGTTATCTGAGAGCAGACTGATCACAGAACAACCCGCAGAGAAAACCTTACATCATTTAGGCTGAGCTTGTCGACTGGAACTCTGAGGATGTTGCTGAGGCAACCCAGGGCCTCAGTCCACAGCATCTCCACAAATACGCCCACTTCCTGTGATAAGCTTCCTGTGTTCAGCTTCTCCTCGAGCAGCAGCTGCCAGTCAGACAAGGCACATGTAAATCAGCTCATCAGCTCATTAGATTCAGATATCATAATAACAAAGTCTAGCACATTATCCTGCTAACTAAGATGCTTTAATGCGTTTTACTGCGAGACCTACCACTCTCGGGACCACTGACATTCTGGTATATAATAATAGGATGCTTTTAAAGATGGTTATACATTATGTGAAGCTTATTGGCCCACCACAACATACCACAATGTCAATATACTGTAGTTAGTCACAGATATGTAAACCTCTAGATAATTATGTAGTGTAAAGCAATATTACAATTTGTATTTATATATTAACACATTATATAATGTATCATTATTAACCTTAAATATACTTTATTAATGTATCATATTAACAGGAAATTTGGTGAATTTTATATTGACAAACCATATCACTCTGAGAAGATCCACCACAAGTTTAATGTTGTAACTGTAACTTAAGATGTTATGTATATATCATAGAGAAGCCTAGCACATAGAATATAAATACAGGAAAGAAGACAGTTGACCGAGGTTCTGACTGCGCCTGCCTCAACCGTTATCGGAGCCAAAACGGGGCAGGATTTAGGAAGCTTTATTTTTCTTGCTTTGGATAAAGACTTTCAGCAGAATATGTATGTGCAGTGGAGCCAGACCTGCTGGAGGGGGGCGGAGCCCAGGTCCTGGGCGCGTGGAGGGATGTTGCTCCGCAGCTGCAGACCGGAAGCCTGCAGGGTTTCTCTAAGGGCCTTGAACACCTCCAGAGCTTCCTCTGAGGTGGACGGAAACACCAGCATATCCCTCACCGCCACTGTCTGTTAGTACAAACACAGCTATCTGTTTATGTGCGAGTTATTCTATTGCTTAAGTGTGACCTGAGTCCCGCATTTTGATAGCTGTTATTCAGATGGCGCTAAAAAGTGACAACTCTCACTTGAGAACTAAATTTTGAAAATAAAACTGTTCACATTGGTCTAACACTACTGCAAATACCTTTTAACTTCTGTTTGATTCTACTGCAAATCACAATAGACAGCATGTTTATACAGGAGAAAATATTATACACAGGTCACAGGGCATGAAGTTCAAACTAACCAATAATGATATGATGGACATTGTAGAACACTAACAGTGGTGACTTATTGTTTTATTTTCAATAAAAAATGATCACATTGGGGTCACCTGTGAGCTGACATGCAGTACAAGCAGCAATATACAAAAGACTTCATACCTTGGCGAACACATCGTCCTTCCAGTACCGGACCACACGGTACTGCCATTCTTTGTCCCTTTTGGAACTCTGCAGCTCCAGCACACACCAAGTGTTGCTGTTTATCTTGAGAGAAATGTATATATTATTAGTAATTGCAAATAGTAATTGGAGTACTTTTGTAATAGCAGTAAGCTAAAAAAAAAAAAAAGGTGCAGCTTTACCTTTTCAAAGATTGAATACTTGGCCACTTGAAAATGATCCGGATACTTTGGAAGGTTGGAATCAGTTCCAGTATAAATCCTGTGAAGTTTAACAAAAATATCAATTATATTATTTTGTGTGTGAAGTAGTTTGTGTTTTTAAGAATACATTTTCCTGCTGAAATGTTCATGAAAACAAATGTTGACTCCACTGAACTGTGTATTTTGAGCTGTAAATTAAACTATATGACTGTACTGTGATGAAACACATCAGTGCAGGTGTTAAAAGTGACATTCTTAACAATTTTATAAAACTCAGCATTTTGTGGGTTAATAATTGCTCAACACACCCTCTACTGTTTTAAAACAGCTTGTACCCCAATGCAGACATAGAGTCGACTGTAACTAATTTACATCATGACAGAAAAGAGTGTTAACGCCCTCTAATCAGAGCAGGTGCATTCTGGTTGTCAGTCTGTCAATCACTCTGGTTGGTGTTAAGGCCACGCCCCCTAAAGTCATTGTCTTTTGCAGGTCTCTGCATTATTTAATTATTCATCACGAATCCACCAGTGTTAATATAACACACTACTGAGTATGTCGAGGCTAACATAAGGATGGTTGTTGTTCACACCTGAACCTTTCCAGGACGTTTCCGCTCTTCACCGGACTGTGTGCCTCATGAGTCTGCCAGTCCACAGGCTTGGCTGGGCCTTTGGACGGCTCAACTGCTTTGCTCTGTGGTACTTTGGACACTACAGAAGACAGAAGATATACACATAACTGACACACCTCATGTCACATGTTCTGCAGTCCATGCATTAGGACAGGTATGTGATTAAACCTGAGTACACAAAGCAGGCTATGTAAGCAAGGTGATACAATTCACAGAGAGCTCATTACACAACACTGCTGCATGTTAGAATCAGCTCTACACAAAATCTGAATGTGTATGTGCAAACACACCCTTGACCAGACTATGCAGTTAAACCTGCTGACTGCAGCTAAACTAATCAGAATGTCCATATATCAATGCTGAAACAGAAGTGGGAGGACAGACTATTGAACCAGTGACTACAAGGCAAGAAAAATATGACTTGTGTCTGTGCGAAGTGCAAATAAAGGAAATGAGAAGCATCATGAGTCATTACGTTGGAACTAGGTGGAGTCCTGATTCTCATGTTTCTGACCGAGACAGTGCTGTACCTACAACGTGAATTTTACACTCCCAAACAGTGGAGAAACCTCTCTGCAATTCAGTTTTAAAGTTAGATACATAAACATAAATGATGTGCATTTACAAATATCAAAGATAGTGTGAGTGATGCTGTGGCCTTCACCATCATCATCATCCTTTAGTTTGCTGCTACATGATGGTCCTACAGGGAATAAACAGGGTTTCTGCAGATTTCAAAAAGTTAAAGATCCCCTCCAGACATGTGTTAAGACTGCAAAAACAGTCTCCTCCCTCCCCCTCATTAAACCTTCCACAATCTCTGAATATGTAAATGTTGATTTCTAAAGTGTTCCTGCTGGACACAAGATGT